GGTGTTATGCACAAACAATGAATCATGGAACACTTCATCTAAAACTAATGATGTAATGTATGGGGATTAACATAAGAATAAAAATAAATAAATAAATAAATAAATAAATAAATAAAAAGAAAGGAGGACAGGGCAGAGGAATGAGCAGGAAGAACTGGGTGATCCGGACAGGCTTCTTGGCAGAGGGAACACGTGAGGACAGAGGCAATTCCTCAGGACAGCCAAGGACACGGTTCATTCATCCAGGTAAGGGAAGGCGGCAAGGACCGTCCGGGGAGAGGGAAGAACGCGGACAGCGCCGTGTGCTCATGCGCCGTGTGCGCAGGAACGTCCAGTCCGGCTCGTGTGAAGGCCTCAGCACAGGGCCAGGCGCAGGGGCTGCGGCCCCCACCGCCTACAACACTGCGGCAGACGTGAGGTCCGCAGCACGATCCAGATCCGGTGGGGAAGCGCAGAAGGAGGGTTGCAGACAGGATGGTGGAGAGGCCTGAGGGGCACAGTGGGTCCCAGCTGCAGGAGCACAGCCGACCGAGATGGGCAGTCCCCTCCATGCCCTGGAAATGGGGTGGCATCAGCCCTGTGTGGGCAACGAGATCAGATAAAGCAGAAGGACTGACCTTTTCAACCAGGTCTTCAGGGGCCTGTTCCTCAAAGAGCTGAATTTTGTCTTCAATGCACTTCCTCAAAAGGTCTATCTTGCTTTTACTCTTGGAGCGCGGCTTTCTCGCCTTGGACTGCTGCTGGAGGGCACAAGAGAAAACACGGGCAGGAAAGTGACCACCTGCAGGTCTGTGCATGCCCTATGTCTCCCAGAGCCGGGAGGGGCCCCTGTGGCCCCAGAGCTGCAAGTTGTCTTCAGCTGGACAGAGGGGGAAAGATGTACACTTGCCTGAACAAGCTCAGTTCGTGGGCCCTCGGTCCACCAAAGGGAGAAGGACTCCAGCTAGCAGAGCCAAAGCTTCGCCACCAGACAGCACAGCCAACCCGGGTCCTCCTCCTCCCAGCCATGGGACCTCAACCCATCAGCCTCTCTGAGCAGGGGACCCGACTGAAGAGGTCCCTGTCCTAGTGAAGCCATGTGGAGCCGCTCTCCCTGCTGGCGCCATCAGACTCCACCCACCACCTGCACCTCTGCTTTCGGCCGACGGCCCTCGGAAGGGAGCCAGGCTCAGCCAACCCTGCCAGCCCTTCTGAGCATTTCTTCTGCAGGGTATTTCTTTCTTTCTTTCTTTTTTTTGAGAGAGAGAGAGTGCATAAGCATAAGCAGGGGAGAGGGAGAAGCAGGCTCCCTGCTGAGCTCCATGGAGCCAGACATGGGGCTCAATCCCAGGACCCCGAAATCACAACCTGAGCTAAAGGCAGACGTTTAATGGTCCGAGCCACCCAGGTGGCCCCTCTTCTGCAGGGTATCAAGCGAGCACAGTTCACACTTGGGGCAAGTGTATCTGCTCCTCTGAGGTAGAGTGCAGGGCCAACTATTTCTAAACCAAGCACCCTAAACAACTTTAGAAACAGGAACTTAATTCCTGCCAGGATTGGCCCTCGATCAGCTCCAAAGCAGGGGAAAGTGAGGTCCACACCTCACTTTACTTCTATGGAAATATCTTTATTCATTGTTCCAAAACTTAAAAAAAAAAAAAAACTTCGCTATTCTGTCCCTTACTCTCTAACTACCATCATCTTATAAATCCTGCACTCTTCCAGGAACAGAAATAGAAAAAACCCTTTTTTTTTAACATGAAAGAACATAAAAACTTCTAAGTTGTTTCTACATCTCACTGTTTTTTATTCAATATGGATACATCTGAATTTTTTTTCTTCCCCTAAAGGAAAACAGTGGGTTTCAAGTCAGAAAATACCAGCCCCAAGCCCAGTTCCACCACCCCCTCCCTGCTTTAGTTGGTCCACTTTTCCTATGCTGGTGGGTTTCTCTTCTGCAAAATGAGCAGAGAAACGTACCTCCTGGCACTGCTATGAACATGCATGGGATCACCTAACCTTAAGTGCTTTGAATATGTGTTCAATCCCAACATAGTATCACCTCCAGGGAAGCCCGACATCTTGCATACATTTGGTGGTTGGCCGGCTCAATCACACGCACTGCACACCTACTATGCGCCAGGTACTTTCTAGGTGCTGGGGACAGAGTGGTGAACACGTCAGGGACACAGACAGTGAGCAGGCTGAGAAACCAGGACATTTCAGTGATCAATTACATGAAGACATGGACCACAGCCATATGATGAATGCCTGGGGACGGGGGTCTTCTGGATGGGTGCTCAGGGTGGACCTCTGCGGGTAAGTTGAGCCGAGGCTCGAACAGACCACAAAGAGCTGGCCCTTGATATTCTGGGGAAAGCATGTTCCTGGCAGAAGAAATGGCAAGTTCAAAGGCCTTGTCTTAGGTTGGGTTCCCCATAGGCAGAGCCAGAGATGGGGTTGGCTTGTGCATGGTTTCCTGAGAGAGGAGCTCGGAGCAGCATGTGGGGAGTCAGGGAACCAGATCAGGAAGGGGAAAGAGCCATGCAGGGCAGGGGGTCTCAGGAAAGTCTAGCCTTGACTGCTCCATGGGGGCGCTCTGGAGCAAACACGGCACCCAAGAGTGGTCTGCCTTTGAGGCACGTAATAGGTGCTCAAAAAAGGCAGCTGTCGATCAGCTGTGAGAAGCTCCCTTTTCCTAACCCACCTGAGTTGACGTGAGCATCCTCCTCGTGCCACTTAAAGAAGGGGCCAAGCTTCTGTACCCTGAGTCGGTCACTGGGCGTGGCTGAAGGAGCAGGAGGGAAAGAAAGAAACCTCTTGGGCCACGGGGTGCCCCTCTGCCCGGGGCCAGGCCCAGAGGAGGGTGCAGGTGTGAGCCATAAGCAGCTAAAATGCAGGGCCCAGGAAGGGGGTCTGGGCCGGGCACCTAAAGGTTAGGACAAGCTTGGCAGTTCCAGGAGTAGCCAGATGCTGATACGGCTGCAGAAAGAGAAGAGATGAGCCCAAGGTGGGCGGCGGGGTCAGAGCCCACAGCATTAGGGGTGGGAGAGGCCCCGTGTCTATAATCAAGGAGTGGCTGGGACAAGCCTCTTACCTGCAGCTCAGGGGCAGCCAGGGCCTGGTCCAGCCTCAGGAACTCTGCTTCTCGCCAGGCAGTCTGAAACTGCTGCATCAGGACACGGGCCCGGATTTTGGGCAGAGCCAAGCTCCTATCCATCTGAGCGAAGCAACCGTGAACTTCCTGCCTCATCCTGAGCAGCTCCTCTTCAGACAGGGAGAAGGCTGAGGAGCAGAGCTTCCTGGAAAAGCAAGAGAGGGAGGCAAACCATAAGAGACTCTTAACTCTAGGGAACAAACTGAGGGTTGCAGGAGGGGAGGGGGTAAGGGGATGGGGTAACTGAGGGATGGGCATTAAGGAGGGCATGTGATGGGATGAGCAGTGAGTGTTATGTGCAACTGATGAATCACTAAATTCTACCCCTGAAACTGAAACTACTAATACACTATGTTAACTAAATTGAATTAAAAAAATTTTTTTAATAAAAAAAGGGGCACCTGGGTGGCTCAGTCGGTTAAGTTTCTGCCTTCAGCTCAGGTCATAATCTCAGGGTCCTGGGATCGAGCCCCATGTCAGGCTCCCTGCTCAGTGGGGAGTCTGCTTCTCCCTCTCCGACCCTCCCCCCAGCTCCTGCTCTCTCACGCTCTCAGATAAATAAAATCTTTAAAAATAAATAAAATAAAATAGAGGAAATGGGTGGGGGGGTTGCTGGGGGTGGAGAAGCTAGGAATTCAGAGCAAACTCCATTCATTAAATCCATGTCTAGAAAAACCCATCATGTCTTTAATTGTGCGTTCGTTCCACAAGAATCTCTTGCGCACCTAATGTGTGCTGTGTGGGACACACCATCATGCTGGAGAGAAGTTACAGCTGGATGAGGCCAGGCTGTGAGGGTGTCCACGGACAGGCAACAGGCCTCCCAGCCTTCCTGATGGGGGAGAGGGCCTGCTTCTGCTTTAGAAACAGACGTGAAAACAAAGCATCATCTGCCGAGCCTGCTCAGTAGCACACTACGTAAGGGACAGTGGCCTGGAGAAGAGATGCCCAACTCAGCTCAGGAGGACAAGGGGCAAGGGGGGCCTTGCGCTGGGTTTTAAAGGATCATGACCGACAGCCACCATGCAGAGAAAACCCGTTCCATGCTGGGAATATGCTGAGTGATTTACTGCTAGAGGCTGACCTGTGTCCCCCGCAAAGATGTCAAATCCTAACCCCCAGTACCTGGGATTGTGATCTTATTTGGAAACAGGGTCTTTGCTGATGCGAAAGTAAGATGAGGTCATAATGGAGGAGGAGGGGCCCTTCACTGAACATGACTGATGTCATTGTAAGAAGAAAGACCCGGGCGGGCGCCTGGGTGGCTCAGTTGGTTGGGCGGCTGCTTTCGGCTCGGGTCATGATCCTGGAGTCCCTGGATCGAGTCCCGCATCGGGCTCCCTGCTCGGCGGGGAGCCTGCTT